AGGAACGGGGCTCGTCTTGATCGATCTACATCGGTTCGTCCTTCTTTCCTTCCTTCCTCTCCTGACCTTTGTCCTCAGCTCGATGGTCTGCTCCCCAATCACCGCCTGATCTGAGCCAGCGTCAGCGTCAATCACCGCAGCTTCATTTGAGGGCCCAAGTGACAGCATGGCACGCTGCCCATCATCTCTCTCGCGAGCTGCAGTCGGTCTGTCAGCAGCACCGTTTCCGTCTTCTTCTTGGTTCGATTGGAGCAGCGCTGACGGGTCGGTGACCATGTGGCTTGTCCATTTTGCCGCCCATCGCGCGATCACCGAGCGGAACTGGTGCGTCTGGGTCCTGTACCAGAAATGGTGGTTGCTGAAGCACCTGATGTAGTAGTGCCGCCATGGCAGAGAGCACACGAATCTGCCACCAAGCTCCTGCTGGCAACACACGCTCCACAAGTAGTCACTGTCAGAACCTGCATCAACCACCAGCAACACAACACAACAGAACAGCACACGTGTTGGATGGATGGATGGCATTGCGCATGCTGACTAACCGACCAGCGGTGGCGTCTCTGAAGCGCCTGTTGACGCGCTGCAGCAGATCCAGCTCATAGCCAACCAGAAAGGTAAGCACCTCCGCAGCAACCAGCGCCTGCCATCAAGACAAACACACTCAGCGCATTCTTCTTTGACTGACTTCTCCTTCTTGCTTCCGTTCCCGTACCTCGTGCTTTGTCCTCCACGGCCTCCTGTCGCCTCCTCTGGCCACCTCGCCATTCATCGCTTTCAATGAGCGAATGACTCAATCGAACAACGACAAGATCTGCCTCTCATCTCTTCCCATTCTCATCCTTTGCGAATTCCCAGTCTTGGCACCCAGGATTCATTTAGCTCGCAAATGGCGAGCTGGTGGCTGGATTAACCGACCGACCGACGGAAGGCACCCGCGCCGCAGTGACCACACGACAACAAAAGGAAGCAAATCGTTGTCACACAAATCTGAGAGATGAGTGCGTATACGGCTGACGGCAGGCTAGATCTGCGGCCTCTCGAAGACCAGAGGTTCGATGCTGCCAAATGGCTGGACGGCCTCATGCAGGAGTTCCAGCTCACCGCCGCAGCCGGCACCAATGCAAGCAGACAGGGCCGGCCGCTCTCGCAGGGCCAGAAGGGAGCAGCCCCTTCGTCGTCAGCATCAGCCGCCGCCCCTGGGATGGACTCCTTCCTGTCGACTCTGTCCATGCAGCTGCAGATGGCGTGTGCGGACCTCTCGTCGTCTGTCGAGGTGGTCGGCAGCCAGATCGTGAGCTCCATCCCGGGCCTCCTGAGCGACATCGGCAAGATGCGTCACGAGATCAGCCGGTGCAAGGAGCGGCTACGGGTGCTGCTTGGGGAGCTGTCGATCGTCGACACGGACCAGCAGGAGAGCCTGGCCTTCCTCTCGGAGATCGACGCCGCCAAGGGACGACTCGAGACGTGCAAGCGCGTGCTGACCGAGATCCACCAGTGGGAGTATCGCGTCAAGGAGATCGAGGCGCTGCTGGTGTCGGGCAGCCTGCTGCCCGTGTCAGGCCACCTCACCGCCCTGCAGGAGACCGTCGAGGTGCTGGAAGTCCTTCCCGAGTACTCGAAGCGCGCCGCGGTGGCCAAGCGTTTCCACGACCAGCTGATGGCCGAGGTCAAGCACAAGATGGCCGCCGCCATGGCGGATGTCAACGTCAAGGAGCTGCGGATGTGCGCCGAGGTGTTCGGCCAGCTCAAGGATGATGGGGGCGCGGCGTGGCTGGACGCGGCGAGGGAGTGTTTTGCTGAGGAGTGTCGGGACATCTGGGGCAACCTCTGGCGGCGGACCACCATGGGTGCCGACGGGGAGGGGGAGGGCCGGCAGGGAGAGACCCTTAGACATGACAAAGGTGGGCCACCAACAGACAGAGAGGAGGGAAGTGGGAAGTGGGAGGGAAGGTCGGGTTTCGTTTCATGTGTTTCTCGTCTCGTGTCTGTGTGTGCATACGTGCAGCAGGTGACCTGTTGGATGGGGGCGGTGGTGGGTATGCCGAGCCCGAGAGCCGTCTGAGCGAGAACGATGCCGTCCAGCTCTTCTTCGAACAGACTTCCAAACAGATCAACAGGGTGGGGGAGTGAGAAGATCAGAGTGTCCCCATCCCTCATATATCGTCGCCGAATGGCACAAACTGCGTTCTCTCTTTCTTGTCTGTCTGTGGTGTCTGTCATGTCAGCACACCCAGCTGCTCAAGGCCGTGAGCGACTACCAGCCCGAAACCCCCCGCCACTCCTCACCCACACACCGCACACCCGCACACGACGAAGCAGATGAGGACGGCGGCCTCTCCAGCCCACACTCACCATCAATGCTGCTCGGCGGCACATCGGGAGACACCAACCTCCCGGAAGAGTCCCTCACGACCACGACCACATCGCCCCGTGGCCATCCACAGGTGGGCGCGGCGCCGCTGGTGCTGGAGATCGACTGGAAGGAGCTCATTGCTGGCCTGGTGCGGACGAGCGTCACTGTGCCACATGCCGACGTCGGGCGTCTCATGAAGTGGGCCATGGAGCAGAGGAGGACCGCTGAGGCTTATCAGGTGTGTCATGCGGCCCGGCCGCCCACACGACGGCCCAGCCACGATGGATGCAGCTTTGCTTTCATCCATCTGATCTGCCTGCGTGTCATGCATTAGATCTTCGAGCGTCTGGTGCAGGCGTACGAGCAGAGCTGCCTTCTGCTGTGCGCCACGCCCATCATCGCCGAGAGCGAGAGGCGCCTCTGGCCAACAATCGCCGTCGTCACTCCTGCACCAGCCGAGGAGACCCATGGCGGCACCCCAGCGGTGCGTGAGAGCCTTCTGCCCGACGGGCTGCTGCGGGGGATGGGCCAGGTGCTGCTCGCTAAGCTCCGGGAGAGCATCGCGAAATCGCCGCCATTCAACCCCTCATGGCCGCCGTCACAGGTCGGTCAGTGTGTCTACCTATCGAGAGGACTCATTCCATTGGGTGTGTGTTGTGTTGTGTGTGTATGGGTGTGTTGTCTGTCTACACAGGCGGTGTACGAGGCCGAGACGGACGCCATGAAGGTGTTGTGGCGGCTGACGCAGAGCGGCGAGGCCCTTAAGGACTTGTCGGCTGCACTCCTGGCGCCCGTGTGGCTGGCCGGCATCGAGGACATTTGCGCCGAGTACTGGAAGAGGTGGACGCCCCTCTGCGACATCTTCACCAACACCATCAAACACAAGGCAAGCCAAGCACCACACCACACCAAGCCACCGGCAATCCATCCACCCTCCCTCCCTCTGTGTGGCTAACCAGGCGTCCACTCTGCAGCGGCAGCGTGTGTCTGGCCCGTCTGGCGGTGTGGGGCTGGGTGCGGGTGCGCTTGTGCCGCTGGATGTGTCGCTGCTAATGACGTGCCTGCAGTTCCACAACCTGCTGGCCGTCCTGGCCGACAAGTTCGCGGCCCTGCAGGGGTCGGCGCTTGCCACTGCCCAGGCCGTCTACCACCGCCCCACGAGGCTCAACACACTGCAGAAAACGCTCAAGAAGTGAGGGAACCAGACACACAAAACACACACACCTGTCCGTGTGGACTTGCCTCTTGTGTCTCTTCCCCATCTGCGTGTGTTGTGCGTCCGTCCGTCCATCCAGCGATCTGATGCCGTCTCTGTCGACGATCCCGACGGCGAGTGTTGCCAAGGCCTTGCAGATAATCGAGTCGCAGCCACCAGCTGAGACGCAGCCGCCCGAGGGCCCACCAGCCGCGTCTATCCCCCCGCCGCAAGCCCCAGGGTCATCCGATGGGCCCTTTGTCCTGGCTGTGGCAGTGGCGGAGTTTGACCGTTTACGGAGTCGCGTCAAGGATGTCGTGTCGCAGTGCTGCACATACCCTGTGACCGTCACGCTTCAGGTCGGTGGGTGGGAAGGTTCGATGTGTGTTGCAATGCACCTCATGGCTGTCTTGTCTTGTCTTGTCTTGTCTTGTCTTCAGGATTATCACAGCTTGACCGAGTGGACGGCGGTCTCCAACGACACACTGATGGTACCTTACGTGTACAGTGCACTGCTGTGGGTCAATCGGTTGGTTACAGCATCCTATGGCCGTGTGTTGTGTAGGGTGAGGTTGGTCTGTCTGGTTCGCCGACGTCGCTAATCACAGCGGTGGGTGAGCACCTGCTCTCCCTCGTCCCCCACCTCGAGTCACACTCACAGCAACACCAGCAGCAGCAGCAGCAGGTGGCCAACCAGACACCCGTATCGCCCGCACACGGCCCACAGGTACACACAGACAGACAGGCCTGGTGGACACATCCACACGCGCGGCACTCGTGTGGAGTGCATATCAGTGTGTGTGTGTGTAGGAGTCTGGTGCGTCTGTGTGGCTCCCCCGTGTGCTCGGCTCAGTCGGCAGCACTCTCCTGGCAAAGGCCGCGCAGGTCAGACAGTCACGCATTCTATCAACCCACCCCCCTCACTCACTCAGCCATCTGGCTGCTTGCCTGCCTGCCTCTCTCTCTGTCGTCTCTCTCAGATAGAGCGTCTAAGCAGCGGCGGTCTGCGTCAGCTGGCCACCGATCTGTCCTACATCCAGAAGGTCATCGAGGCACTCGGCGGGGCGGCTGAGATCGTCGACCTCACCACATGCCTTGACGCCATGCAAAAGCAGCTGCAGCCGAAGGGTGGTGCCCAGGGGCAACCACCGGCGCGGGACCAACCGTCTGCCGATGGTAGCCAACAGGGGCGGCTGGAGTACTACCAGACACTGATCCGGGCCAAGCTGCAGGCGGAGATGGACGCGCAGATGGCAGCCAGGGAACGAAGGGAGGGTGGGGACAAATAGCCAGGGTGCCGTGTCTGTCCTGTGTCTGTCGATGAATTCAACGTCGGTCGCGTGTGTGGCCGCCTGTCTGACACGTGTGATCGTCTTGACAGTCAGTGTCAGTGCATTCATTCTGAAACAACCGAAGTTGCATTCGTGTGTCATGTGCGTCGAACTCGGTAATAGCAAAAGCCGAGGCTGTGTCAGACTGCTTTTCGTCATTTTGGTCCCATTCAGATCCTTCCACAGCCCGTCACGACCGAAGCCGTGTGGGTCATCACGGTTGTGCCTCTCGCGAGGCAGACCATAGAGTCCCATCGGGCGGGAAGCATAGCTCATCGTCATGGGTGATGAGTTGGTCTGTCGCTGTGGTGGAGAACTGTTGGAAACACTATAGAAGTGATCCTGTTCGAGCACAGTCGACAATCGCAAGAGGTTGAGAATTTGCATAGGTCAACACAGATCTCGCGTCGGTGATGGCTGACGAGATCGGATGGCCGGAACCGGTGGGATGAATCCCCCCTGTGCTTGCCAGCAGCCGAGAGGCCCGTCTTTGTCCTGCACGAGATGAGATGCGGATCTCTCCTTTGTCGATACGATGAGGCATCGCCATGACATCCAGGAGATGGCCGATGATGAGGGCGACGATGGGTGAGAAGACCAAGCAGAAGGCCCTTGACAGGGCTGGTTGATGCAGCATCAAGATCCACGCCAAGATCTATCTGCTGCGTAGCGCCGACGCGAGTGTGTCAGAATGCTGAGGCCGCGTCAGGAGAGGGATGAGCCGCACCGATATCGATGTCGTGGGTACATGGGTGCCTGGTTGCGTGATGTGTGTGTGCAGGCCGCAGCTGGACGCTTCTTCGGACCACACTCGCTGGAGACTCGACTCGCATTAGTTAGTTGGGCTGACCGATATGACATGCATACATGACCTGTGCGTGTGAGTGTTGTGTGTGTTACGGAACGGAACGGAAGACCTTTGTTGGTTGGGCTGATTGCAATGCACTCAGAAAGAAAACTTGATTGTCACTCATGCATCATGAAGGACACGACACCCACACACACATGGCATGGCAGGAATCCATCAATTGAGTAGTGAGTCCACACACGCACACGCAGCCAGCCAGCCAGCCAGCCAGTCGGTCGAGTCAGCCGTCAGCCAGTCAGTCAGTGAGTCGTACACAGAAGCCCACTTTGGCCCATCCATCCATCCAGACAGGCGTTGACACACACACACAGGCATTAATCATTCAAACGCCACGACCAGAAATAAATGGCATGCATGCAATGCAAAACATCCACACCCGCCGCCGCCGCCGCCCCTTGTGTGCCAAAATCGAGAAGCGTTGATCGCTGTCTGTCTGTGTGAGTCAGTCGTCAAAACGGTGTTCGACCAGCCGGCCAGGGCGGCCAGCCAGCCGCCATTGCTCCTTCCTTGCTCCAACAGTCCGTCGATTTGATAGTGTCAGAGTGTGTAGTGAGTGCTACGTGGGCTAGTTGCTGACTGACTAGCTCCCTCCCTCCCTCCCTCTCAACCTGTACACGCCACTGCACTCACTGGCCATACAGACGAACGAACATGAATGAATGAGTGCGCATGCAGTGCACAGACCCTCACTCGCACACACACACACACAGCCATCCGTCCAACCAACCATCCATCCATCCGAGCACATCACATGCATGGCGACATGGTTCTTGGGCGGTCGGTAGGAAGGTAGTCAGGTTGGTCAGTCAGTATGGAGCGTAGCCGTTCATGGCCCCGCTCCCGCTCCCGCCGCCACTGCCCCAGGGACGGCTGCCGACGGGGATTGTGTTAGCACCTGGCAGATGGATGGATCCATCACACACACACCATACACACAGACGGAAATGCACATGAAATGTCGTGTCGTGTCCGTTATCCTTCGTGTGTCCATGTGTCTGTCTGTCTGTACCCTACCCGTCTCGAAGTGAGCTCCTGAGTATCCGCCGCCACCGCCAGGTCGGCCGCCACCGCCCCACCGACGGCCGCCACCGCCCGCACCACCTGCAGCCAGTGCACACACCACACCACATCACACGAACCGACCGATGGAATAATACAGAAATGCGTCTCGTCTGTGTGTTGTGTGTGAGTAGGGAGCGAGTACGCACCTTGTGCGCCTTGGAGTCGCCTGAGCTCCTGTGGAACCGGCTGGTTGGCCTCCTCCAAGACCTGCATACACACACACACGACGCACAGAAGGCACAAAGATGGTATGGTGGGTGGATGTCTGTGTGTCGGGGAGGTGACCTTGATCAGATCCCTGGACATGCGGAACTTGTCACTCGTGAAGTAGGAGTACGCCGAACCTGACACACACCACGCAAACGACGATACATGCGAACACACCTCTCCTCTCTCAGTGCTCTCTCCCTCTGTCTCTCCGCCTGTCTGGTATGCAGCATACACACCGTGGGCCCCCGCCCTGCCGGTGCGGCCAATGCGATGGACGTAGTCCTCTATCTGGTTGGGGAAGTCGTAGTTGATGACGTAGCGCACGTCCTTGACGTCCAGACCGCGCGAGGCCACGTCGGTCGCCACCATGATGGGGTTGGTGCCCGTCTTGAACTCACGCAACACCTGCACCCAGCAATACAGCAATATACACACACACACAGCCATACACACATGTGACGTATGCGTGTGAATCGATGTGTGTGATGGGCGGAGGGCGTGTGGTGTGTGTGGTGTGTGTGGTGTGGTGGGGGGAGGGCTGCTTGGCTTACATAGTCTCGTTCCTCCTGCCGTTTGTCGCCGTGGATGCAGAGGGCCGGGAAGCCGTTCAGCCGCAGGTTCTTGGTCAGGTTGTCCGCACCTGCAGGCAGGCAGTACCCCAGGACACACACACCCGCACCGGACCCCACACCAGACACACAGATGAGATAGATGTACACAAACAACACAGGCTTCCTTCTCTCTCTCTCTCCCTTCCTCCCTCCCTCCCTCTCCCTCTCCCTCTCCCTGTGACCTTTCTTGGTGTCGGTGAAGATGAGGATGCGGCCGTTGTTCATACGTGTCGTTAGCAACTCCTGAGTGCGGCTCCACTTCTGGCTCTCCTACACACATAGACGCAGAGAGGCACAGGCAGAGGCAGGGACCGGTAAGACAGCCGTGCAGCGACCGATGGATGGATGGACAGACGAACGAACCAACGGACCAATCAACGAACGACAAACGGCACTTAAAGGCGACTCGACTTAGACACACAAACGTCCTCTCTCATTGCTTTGCTTGCAGTGCCTGCGAGCCCTTTCTCTCTACCTACGACTAGCTAGCTACAGCTACCGACACAAAAGAGAGAGGACTACCTCAGCTAATCCAATCACGCACCCACCCTCCCAGCCATCCGCCACTCACTATTATCACACACTGCACTCAGTCACTTCACTCTGTCCATCGGTCCGTCCACAGAGAGGTCCTCACAGGCTACTCGGCTGCGGGAGCGAGAATCACCGGCGGGCGGAAGGAACAAGGCAGGCACATCAACCGACCGACATGCCGACCAACAGACACTCTGACTGACCAAATCGACCAGGTCAGTCAGGTGCATCGTCTGTGTGGCGGCAGCAGCGCCGCACGAGCACACACACATACACGATCGCATTGCGGATCGTGCAGTGCAGGCAGTGCAGGCAGTGCTCCGCCCGTCATCAATTGACGAGCGGCTTGAAGTGCCTCTTGGTTTCGTCCTCCAACCGCCCCGCCCTTGGTGGTGGCCTCGCTCCGTAGCCTGTGAATGAACCTCCCTGCAGGAAACGAACAACCAGCAGCCAGACACACCACACCACACAGACACAGAGAGAGAGCAAGGGGCAGGCACAGCGAAGGAAAAGGCACCAGGCAGGGGGGGAGGGGAGGGGAGGGGAGGGGAGGGGAGGGGCTGACGGACGGACGGCAAAAATGGGGCGGGGACTGACTAGGTGGGTGTATGTTAGCTATGTCCACTTAGTGTGCTGGTGGCTGGCTGTCTGATGCTGCTGCTGGATGGATGGATGCGTGTGTCTAGCTAGAACACAGCTATCCCTCTCTCTGCCTCTCTCGCCCCCTCGCTGTCTCTCCCTGGCTGTGAGTGACTTGACGTAAGTAATGTCTGTGCAGTGCATGGGTGTGGGTCTGTCTGTACGTGGTAAAGTGTGGTTCATTAAGCAAGTAAGTCACCTGCAGGATCTCGACATACTGGTTGATGTTGTGGCACGCTCGCAACTCCAACGAACCTGAACACACACACAGCCACAGACGGTCCAATGAGAAGAGATCCCTCATCTCATCATGAATGACCCCATCCGTACCGATGTTGATGTGCACCGGCTCCTCCTTGCAGAGGTCGCGGGCCAACGCCTGAACCTGACACACACATGCCACACACACACAGCGATGGGATGGTCGGCACCTCTACATGGCTCCTCTCCACTACTGTGGCTGTGTTGTGGTATGTACCTACCTCCTTCGGCCACGTGGCGGACCACATGAGTGTCTGCCTGTCGGGGCGGATCTGCGACACGATCTTGCGAATCTGAGGCTCGAAACCCATATCCAACATACTGACATCGACACACACACCACACACAGAGAAGGTCATACACACACCCTCACACAACAGGCAGGCAGGCAGGCAGCTGTCGTCTCATGTGTGTGTACCGATCAGCTTCGTCTAGGGCTAGATACGTCACGCGGCGCAGGTTGGTCGTGCCGCTCTATCACACACACACACACACACACGAGGCACACGAGGCACACGAAGATGATGTTGCCGCCGCACGCACCACCCACTCTGTTTGTTTCCCTCTCTCACTCACCTCGAGGAAGTCTATCATGCGGCCGGGCGTGGCGATGCAAATCTCGACCCCCTCCCTCAGATCCCTCGCCTGCGGACCCTTGGGGGCCCCGCCGTACACACAGGTGTTCTTGATGTGCGACGACCGCCCGAACCGGTCGCACTCCTGCTTGATCTGCACCGCCAACTCGCGCGTCGGAGCCAGCACCAGGACGATCGGCCCGTCGCCGGGCCTCAAGTGCGCCTGTGCGTTGATGTGCACGACGGCCGGGAAGAGGAAGGCGAGCGTCTTGCCGCTGCCGGTCTCGGCGATGCCGATCATGTCTCGGCCGGAGAGGGCGACGGGCCAGCCCTGCATCTGGATGGGTGTGGGGGACTTGAAGCCCGCCTGGGTGACGGCGTCGAGGATGTAGTCGGGGAAGGAGGCCTCCTCGAAGTTGCGCACCGGCTTGGGGACGCTGCGGCCCGCCATGATGGTGATCTGGTTGTTGCGGCGGACGGCGTCGGCCTCCTCGTCAGTCATGGCCTGCACAGCGGGGTGCTCCATGTAGAAGTTCTTCTCGAAAGGGACGACCTCAATGCTGCCCCAGTTGACGGCCTGGAGGTTCCCGCCAAAGCTCTCCTTGGCGCCGTAGCTCCCGCCACCGAACCCTCGCGAACCGGACCCCCCATAGGACCCTCCCCGGCTGTCGTAGCCGCCTGGAGGACCGCGGTAGTCGTAGGAACGGTCTGAGCGGCCGTACGAGTCGCCGCGGCGGTCGTAGTACGCCATGCTGAAGCGAGCGGAGGCACCAGACGGCTAGTCAACGAAAGGGCAAGAGCACAGGTTGCCTCTAGTCACGTGGAAAGCGTCAAAAACTCCAAACAAGACAAGACGGTCGCCAACCGCAGCTCCTCGCTGGCAGTAGCGGTTTCAGGTGACACCCTAGCGGTTTGACGGACACTCATTTGACTTTTGAGGGAAGAGCACCGGCACCGAACAGCATCGCCGCGATGGCGACCTGGGACTGCAGCTTCTGCGGGTTCAGGAATTCGGATTTTCTGCCTTATTGCGAGAGGTGCAATAACCCACGGGAGGATCAGGGCGACGCAGGAGCAGCCGAGCACGTCAGACCGACCAGCAGAACCAAGAAGCCGTCTGCCAAGGCGAATGCGGCCGCTCCATCGTCCTCGAGTCGGTGGACCGGCTCCGCTGCCCCTGCTGCTGCTGGAGGTGATGCGTCTGGTGAGGAGGTGACGTGTCGAATCGAGGGCACTGAGAAGCGCTGCCTCAGATGCACCTTCCTTAACCCATATCGGAACGAGAAGTGAGCTGTGGCACAGACAAGACAGGTCACCCGATGGACGTGATCTGTGGCGCGTGCGTGTTGTTTGGTGTGCTGCAATGCAGGTGTGAGATGTGTGAGGCTGTCCTGAGGCTGCCGCCCCAGCCTCCCCCGGCCATGCCTGGAGCCATCCCATCCACCGCCAGCAGCAACAGGTGACCTACCCGCGCAGACAGTGACCAACACATGTCATGGGTACTGTCTGCCTTTGCCCTCCCTTGCTGCAGTGGCCCCCCTGCTGCTTCACCCGCCCTCTTGAATGGCCATCACGCCCCTCCCCCGCCCCCTATCCCTCCCCCACAGAGCCGCTCCAATGGCATCCAACACCACCAACACCACCAACACCAACAGCAGCAGCAGCAGGAGGAGGGCCTCCCTCTGTATGCCGACCCTGGTGACTACGAAGACTACGAGGCCATGCTGCTCGATTCACAGACACGTGAGCAGGACGGCATCCCGTTCATCGAGTGTGACAGATGCAAGTGAGTTCAGTGAGCACCACTCTGCGCAGAGAGGGAGGGTGTCAGGATTGTCTGTTTCCTCTCTGTCTGTTTCTTGGTCCATCAGGCATCACAACAAGATCGACGCTGTCAAGTGTGTCAAGTGCAACGGGTCGCTCGACGACGAGGAGCCACCTGCCCCTGCCCCCAGGCCACAGCCCCAAGCCCACCCCCCACAGGCGCGCGACAAGGTCACCAAAGGCACCAAGCAACCCATGCCAATCCCCCCCGCACTCCGGCCAGCCAACAAGAACAACACCCGGTCCAGGCGCCAACAGCCCGTCGTCGCACCAGACGACGACCCCTTCCCTGCTCTACCGTCCGCTGCTCCACGGCAACCTCCCCCGCCCCCACCCCCACCAGCAGCTGCTGCCGCTGCTGGTGGGGCGGCCGCTAACAACTCGGGCGGGAGGTCTCGCGGCAACAGTGGTGGTGGATCGAGTCGGCCGAGCACGGGCAGCAATCTGATGGACGAGGAGGAGGCGAAGCATCATGAGATCGTGATCCAGGAGGCGCTGAGGCGGAGTGTCATCGAGGACAGACAGGAGAACGGCGAGAGTGCTGCTGCCGCTGCCGCTGCTGCCGCTGCCGCTGCTGCGGCGGTGCCGTCGAGTTCCAGCTCAGCAGCTGCAGCTGCAGAGGGTGGGGTGCCTGAGTGGCGGCACACGTACAGGGAGCCGACGGAGCCGCCCCCCGAGTGGCTCGAGGATGGCGACAAGCAGCTGCTGCTCAACCACAGGCAGACACAGAAGATACGCCTGCTGCTGCTCATGGGCAAACCAGGATCGGGTACGCGGATTGGATTATTGGATGCGTCGAGCGAGATGTGTGTATCTCGGCTGGTTCTCGACGACTCTCTCTCTGTGTGTGTCCCTCGCCAGGCAAGACCTTCATAGCCCGCAAGTTGGCTGAGCGTGAGTGGAGGACCGTCACCGTCGGCGACAGACTCAAGACTCTCCAGCAGTGCCAAGAAAGTGGGTGAGGGTCTTCTGGACGACAAGACACACAAACACCGGCCGGCGGGCCGGACGGATGGGTGGATGGATTGACTTGTATGTGTCGTGTTTGTTCAGGGGTGCGTGAGCTGCTGTCTGACCGGAGGGTGCGGCATCAGGTGGTGGTTGATCGAGTCAACTTCACCGCAGCTGAGCGACGCGAGTGGACAGCTATCGGCGAGAAGTGCGGGTAAGTAAGGAGAGCTGCCAGGAAGGGCGGGGTGAGTGAGTGGGGCAGGCAGGCATGTGTGTCATCCCATCCGATGGTTCGGTAGGCTTGGCCCGAGCGAGGTAGCCATCATCTTCTTGGACCGCGACACCGCCCAGTGCATGTATGTGATGTGGGTACATACCCTACCAACCATGAGAACCAACGAAGTACACAGACAGGCCGGCATGACTTTCGTGTTGGTGTGTGGGTGTGGTGTGGTGCTGTTTGTTGGATTGGATGTCTTGTCTGCAGTGGCAACATCAGGAGCCGCAAGGCCCGCAATCAGAGACAGCAGCCCAGTGGACGTAAGCCGTAGTCATAGTCATAGTCTGTTGTATGGTTGCTTACATACACGGTTGCTATGTTACATGATTGATATGATGAATGCAGCCAGGTGGACCGAAGAGGAGGCCCAGCGGCTGATCAACGACCATGAGGCCAAGCTGGAGCGGCCGAGGGAGAAGGAGGAAGGCTTCGAGGGCGGCATCTATCACGTCGGCACTGCGGTTAGTTGGTGCACACCGAGCGGAGTGAGGGGCGAGCCCACCGAGCTTCTGTGTATGGTTGGTGTGGGGTGCTTCTGTCTGTCTGTGTGCAGGAGGAGATTACTGCCCTCAAGGATGCCTTTGGGCTCACTGACAAGATTTGCGAACTGCGCGAGAAAGTGCCGTGGTGCTTCTGAATGGATAGCGTACGTACATCTGTGTGTGTATGAGTGGATGGATGTAATTACCCACAAGTGAATGCCCTAGCTATCAATGTGCAATACATGCCGAGAGATTGACTGAGTGAGTGAGTGCATTTGTTGTTCTTGTGCACACGTACGTTTGTTTGTTTGTTGGTTTGTCAGAGATATCGGTATTTCAGTGCCTGCCGCCCAAATCGCGTGGCCGGCAGCTGTCTATCTGCCTGGTGGAACCCTGATGGATGATGCATGTACATACATACATACATGATTCTGGCTGGGGGAAACGGTTTCCTCTTCGCAATGCGCACCGGTCTGTTCCTTCGTCAGAAGGTGTCTTCATACTCACCTTATCTGACCGAGGAGCAGAACAAGGAGGCACCAGACAAGAAGCGACTTAGATTGCCGGCCTTCGTCCCGGTCAGCTCAGCTCCCCTTGTGGGCGTCTCAGCGTGTGTCCTTGTAAATCGGAACTCGGTTTGGGGGCTTCCACCAGGCTGTTGATTGCGGCTGCAATGGCCACATCCGCCCCGTCGTCGCGTCAGGTCGGCCCAAGTCAGCCAGCCGTTCCTCCTGGCAGTGGAGGAACCTCAAATGGTTGCAGCCACAACAATTCTCACAAGACCAACATGTCCAGCAGCCCACCGTCTACCTCTCCACTCACTTTAGCGGCAGGCGGAGCCCAGGGCGGACCCTTCGCGCCCAACGGACCTGCACCGATGCAGCCCAGCAGCCCAAGGAGTTCGCTGTAAGTGTAAGTGGACTTGTGTAATGACTTGGACTTTTGCTGATGCGTGTGCTGCGCTGTAAGGACATGCCATCAAGGAGGGGCAACGCTTTTCGTTGATCGATCAGACACAACCCACTCACAACCATCACCATGCCCATCATGGCGCCGCCTGGGATGACGCCCGCCGGCGGAGCCCAGGGCGGACCCTTCGCGCCCAGCGGCCCAGAGGCGCCCATGCAGGCCAGCAGCCCAAGGGCTCCCTCATACCCGGCTCTCCCTGACCAACAGCACCACCAACCTCAGCCGTCGTCCTTTCTCCAGCCGTGTGAGCCGCTGTTCTTCGCCCACGGCCCCTTTGGCCTCCCCCCCACCGTCCCCCCAAATGTGTCCCATCCCTTCAGTGTGCCGCCAGTGTCGCCCTTCCCCCCTCCCCCGCCCTACCCCTCTCCAGGCAGTGCAGGCGACTCGCCCAACAGCACTGCCAGCAGCATGCACACGCCGTATCGCAGGGAGCCGACACTGATCCAGTCGGTCAACGATATCAATGACATGTACCAGATGAACGGGAAACTCGGCAGCGGACTGTAAGCTAATGAGCACAGAGCACAAAGGGGCCAGAGAAATATGTTATGTGCATCGATTGCATCCGTGTGGTGTTTGGTGCATCACTGGGGAAGTGTTCAATGCCGTGTGTGGTCAAACCATAGCGCACCGAGAGACACGATACCCGCAGACTTCTTCAGCAGCTGAAGCCGCTCTCGCCTGTCCTCGCAAAGGCGGTGCATTTGATGACATCGTCACGTCAGGGAGCGACAGTGAGGAGGGATCGGAGGTTTCCATCTCGTCCAGCACAATGAGCCGACTGCGGAAGCAAGCCGTTCGCCAGACGGTGGTTGGGGAGCTAAAGGCCCGGCTGGCCGCAGCGGGGCTTATTGGCGGGCAGCAACTCGGGCAAATCGATGAGAACAGCAGCGCATCCCAGGAGGACTACCTGCCTTCTCCCGCCCCCGTGAGTCCTCGAGGCGCCGCATGTGTGGACGATGACCGCATGCGTCAGCGCATCAGCTTCACGCCCGGGTCGCTCAAGGGCCTGCTCGTTGAGGCAAAGGCAAAAGGGCCGCTGCTGGCGGACGGCGGACGGCATGCCACCAGGACCACTTTTGACCTGGCTGACGCCTGTAATGCCACGACGGCATGGGGATCGCCAAAAGGTAGCCACGGGTGCTAGGCCAGCCACACAATCAAAGCGACCGACACACCAACGATGCATTGCTTGGCTTGCTGTGTCTGTATTGTGTCCTCGTGCAGTTGATACGGTGATGTCGCGTCTGCGCCAGAGCGAACTGCCCTGCAAGAACATAAGTGCGGTGGCGGGCAAGCAGTACGTCGGTCGAGGGGACACGGGAGAACAGGGCAACCTCTTCCATGACTCTCGCTTCCCGCCATCTCCGCTTTCCCCGTTCGCCTCATCGCCATTGGCACGGTCGCCCGCTCTTCGCAGCCCCCGGCACACACCAAACGGCCCCACGACGCGAGAGGCCTTCAGTCGCGGAACGAAACTACTGAGGATGTTGCAGGGGGACAGCAGCGCATCCCAGGAGGGCTACCTGCCTTCTCCCGCCCCCGTGAGTCCTCGCGGCGCCGCATGTGTGGACGATGACCCCATGCGTCAGTGCATCAGCTTCACGCCCGGGTCGCTCAAGGACTTGCTCGCTGAGACCAAGGCAAAAGGGCCGCTGCTGGCGGATGGCGACGACAGTGCATCGCCAAAAGGTAGCCACGGGTGCGAGGCCAGCCACACAATCAAGGCGACCGACACACAATCCCATGGACACAATCCATGCATTGCCTGCGGTGTCTGCATTGTGTCGTCATGCAGTTGATACGGTGATGTCGCCTCTGCGGCTGCGCCAGAGTGAGCTGCCCTGCAAGCACATAAGTGCAGTGGCGGGCAAGCACGTCGGTCGAGTGGACACAGGAGAGCAGGGCGACCTCTTCCATGACTCTCGCTTCTCGTCATCTCCCTTTGCCCCCACTCCCTTGGCCTCGTCGCCATTGGCACTGTCGCCCGCTCTCCGCAGCCCCCGGCACACACCAAAGGGCTCCACGACGCGAGAGCCCTTCAGTCGCGGAACGAAGCTACTGGGGATGTTGCAGGGCTGCAGCGCATCGCAGGAGGACTGCCTGCCTTCTCCCGCCCCCTTGAGTCCTCGCGGCGCCGCATGTGTGGACGATGACCCCATGCGTCAGTGCATCAGCTTCACGCCCGGGTCGCTCAAGGACTTGCTCGCTGAGACCAAGGCAAAAGGGCCGCTGCTGGCGGATGGCGACGACAGTGCATCGCCAAAAGGTAGCCACGGGTGCGAGGCCAGCCACACAATCAAGGCGACCGACACACAATCCCATGGACACAATCCATGCATTGCCTGCGGTGTCTGCATTGTGTCGTCATGCAGTTGATACGGTGATGTCGCCTCTGCGGCTGCGCCAGAGTGAGCTGCCCTGCAAGCACATAAGTGCAGTGGCGGGCAAGCACGTCGGTCGAGTGGACACAGGAGAGCAGGGCGACCTCTTCCATGACTCTCGCTTCCCGTCATCTCCCTTTGCCCCCACTCCCTTGGCCTCGTCGCCATTGGCACTGTCGCCCGCTCTCCGCAGCCCCCGGCATACATCAAACGGCCCCACGACGCGAGAGCCCTTCAGTCGCGGACCGAATCCACTGGGGATGTTGCAGGGCTGCAGCGCATCCCAGGAGGACTACGTTCCTTCTCCCGCCCCCTTGAGTCCTCGCGGCGGCGCATGTGTAGACGATGACCCCATGCGTCAGTGCATCAGCTTCACGCCCGGGTCGCTCAAGGACCTGCTCGCTGAGAGGCTGACCAAGGCAAAAGGGCCGCTGCTGGCGGATGGCGACGACACGAATGCATCGGCGGGGTACAAGAAGCGCCGCCCTCCTGGCTTGGCACTGCCTCAAGACGATGATACAGTGGGAGACGGAGAGGGAGAGGAAGGCCCATCCTGTGTCTGCCTGTCGCCCACATGGGCCCCTAGTGCGCTCGAGCGGTTCGAGCGGGAGCGTCTGGAGATGGAGCGGCAGAGGGAGATCGACGAGTACCAGGAGAGGCTCGACAAGATGGCCGTCGAGCTGCGTCGGCCGCCCAGCCCCCCCTCGTTGATCCAGCCACCCTCGCCAGAGCGCTTCCTGGACGGATTCAGCCGCACCCCAATGTGGGAGGGCATTCGCCGTGCCGCTGCTGCTATGGAAGAAATCACCACTGGTGGGTGAGAGAAACAGAGAGGGAGAGAGCAGGGGAAAGTAACGGTGCGCCGTCTGTCGGTGGTGTGGATGTCCTATCCATCGGCGTGTGTGTCTTGTCTGTGTGTCAGCTGAACTTGCCCTGCTGAGGCGAGCTGTTGTCGCCTGGGACATGGCTGTCAAGCGCAGGAAGGCCATCAGAGCCTGCAAGATCCTCAACTCTACCGAGTGAGTGAGTATGTGTATACCTGTGTCGCTGCAATTTGTCATTGTCGATCTCAGGAAAGCCATCCGACTTCACTCGTACCAGCTCGCCATGCCAGAACTGAAGAAACCGCTTGCGTGGCGCGAGGCGGCGCAGAGGCTGCAGACGACTGTGCAGCTGGCCGTCCTGAGGCAGGCGCATCAGAAGTGGCACCAGGTCAGTGAGCGAGGCAAACCAGCGAGGGACACAACACACATCTGTGCGCCATATGTTTGTGTTACCTTTGCATGTCAGGTGGCCCGAAGCTCTGCTACTCTCCGTTGCCACTTGGTCATCTGGCGCGTTGCAGCGAAGCGTCGGAGGGCGGCCCGCCAGCTGACGCACGAGCTGCTCCACGCCTGGCACAAGACAGCTGCGGCACGCGCGTTGCAGCGAAATGTCCTCGACCGCCTTATTCGCCCAATCGAACGCGCCGAGCTCCGCCGTGGTGTGGCGTGCTGGTGGCGGGCCACTGCAGAGGCCGTCCTGAAGCAGCGAGCGAAGGAGAGGGCCACCCTGCGTCGCGCTGGCGCTGTTGCTGTCCGATCCACCCTCCGCACGGCCACCATACGTCACCTAAGTGGTGCGTTCATGCGGCTGCACGGGCATGTGGGGCGCTCGGAGCCGGAGGAGCGGAATAGCCCCTGTGAGTCGGCTCGGCAGCAGGAGATCGAGACAGCACTGAAGTCCCCTGCGTCTCCTGTTCGAGCTCCGGGTCGCCCCAAGCACATCACACCCGCCAAGCCGCGTACCACCACTGCCACGAAGGCCAAGCGGCCCGCCCCCAAGCAGCCTCCGGCTCGGACAGAGCGTCCTGCGCCGCGGACCCCTGCTCGCGTGCCATCGCAGCAGCACTTGGGAGGGGCCGCTGGCCAACCCAGGCCGCAGCCGAAGCGTGACTTCATCAGAGAGAACATGCTGGCTGTGTCGAGGGGAGGCAAGAAGGGCAAGGAGGAGAGCCGTGCTGGCGCAAGGTACGTCAGTCAATGCACCCCACCCAGGCCGATAAATGAATGAGTCAGAAAAGGAAGGAGGCCGACCCGCACACATACGACCTGCATGTGCTGTGAATAATTGGCTTGTGCCTGCAGGGTGCGCACAGAGCCGACGGCCCCCACGTGATAAGAGAGACGCCGTGGATGGATGGGTGGACAGAGATCTGATATCCGGTGGATGTGGACAGATGGTGGTGTGATGCGAGTCGCTTCATCTGGCCGACTGACTACCTTGGCTTGGTGGATCCGTGTGAGCGTGGCTCGTGTGTGCGTATGTATGACTGACTGACGGGGACCCACTGACTGACTTGTGCGTACCGTACATGCGTGTGAATGATGCAGACATATTCATGAGGAAAGCAACGCAGGGAGGGAGGGAGAGAGGCAACTGACCGGCAGGTAGGTAGGTGTGTAGCTTGCCTACCTGTTGCTTGTAGATATGCATGTGAATATGTGTGGGCAGTTGGTGTCCTGTCGGTCGATAGCCAGAGGAGAGGGAAGGACCATGGTCAACTTGTCGCTCAACTTGTCTGCAAATGCCTGACTGATTATGCGCCCAGCGGACGGGACGAATGCGAGGAAGCTGTTTTCCACCACCTGCCCGCCACTGCCACGAACGGCGAAGCACTGCAGGGGCGGGCACAGCCACGTGACATGGAATTCGCTCACTCTGCTGCCAAATGAAGCCTTGACGAGTGAGTCAATTGGTCCCCATGAGTGCATCGCATCACCCCACACACACCACACCACACATCACACACGCACACGTGACATAAACACCGAGCGTCAGCCATCCGGGCGTGCGCCAGTGACCTCACCCACCCCACGTGCAAAAATCGTCGGGAGTGTTGAGTGTTTTCTAGCTCAGCTCAATCAATCAAATCGTCAGTCACAACCGAGCCGAGCCAAAGCATAGAACCGAATTTCCACAGACGACAGACAGGACGCCCACCCATGCCACACTGCCTAGGAGAAAAGGTCTGTACAACCAACCACATGGGTCACCCCATCCGCATAATAGATGTGTGTGTGTGTATGGGGTATGGGGGGAGGGAGAGGGGGGTGAACATTAATTGCCGTCTGGGGGAGAGAGAGAGAGAGAGAGATGGTGGTATGCATGACATGACTGACGTGGCGCCTCAAAATGGGTGGGTGCACGGATGGCATGGCATGGCATGGGATGGCATGGCATCGCATGGATGGATGAATGGATGGACAGAGAGAGCAGAATGCAGTCGTGAATTCGTAAGCACACGTGAGCTCCCTTCCTCCCTCTTGTGGCCTGCCTGTCCTCGTCATCCCTGGTGTTGCCGGCTGTCTTCGACCACGTCAGCACACGCATACCCATGACGGCTGGTCTGACCACCACGGAAGCACAGATGTGCCGAGGAAGATGAAGACAGCAGGCAACACACCATTTCAGCTAATTCGAGGAGACCACTGGCTACCGACCCACGCCTGTCGAAGAGGAGTGCGTGTCCATGCTGTTCTGTCTGTGGGGCGCCGCAGTCATCTCCCTCCACGCATCCTCACCATATGTGGCAACGATCGATGCCACACAGGGGAGGTCACAAGGATGGACATGACCGAGGGCACCCAACGACAGCAACAGGCACGGCAGCAAAACGGAGATTCCCTTCAGCTCACTGCACTCCCTCAATGCGCTCAGTTCCTCACGAGGTGCCACCCATCCATCCATCCATCCAAAAATAGGCTGTCTGTCTGTGCACACCTATCATCCGTCACACCTATCATCCGTCCACCCGTCCGTGCGCCACACTGCCCCTGTTTACAAAAATGCGGCCTTGCCTGCCTTGTGCAGACGATACCATGCCTCTTGCATGATATGATCCCCTGTCCGTCCTCTGTGCTCGTCACATGCATTAATGGCATGCAAAGAGACGACAGACAGGCAACAAGCAAGAATGGGGTGGGTCCGTGGGCGGATGGGATGTGAGAGCGAACGAGAAACAAAAGCTGACTGACAGTGTGTGTATGCATTCAAAACCTTCCCTTCATCATCACAGGCAGCGGGGCATCCATCCATCCATCCAGGTATGCGTGTGTGGTCCCTCCCCACAATAGCTGGCAGCCACTCCGTCTCTCCCCCCCTCCATCTCTGCCCTCGCCCCTCTCCGGGTGCGTGTCTGGCGTGCGTGTGCACAAGAAAGACGAAAAAGCCAGAGCAGCAAGCCAAGCAGGAAGGCACACATTCCATCCCAAGTGCCGGCCAGTCAGTATGGGACCGGCAGCCGGTCAAAAACCTTGCGCACCGACACACACGCCGCATCGCATCGCATTCGATTGCATTCTCTCACCGATAGACTCTCTGTATCTCTCTCTCCTTTTTCACTGCACACATGATGATAGGTATCGAGCAATCCACACACACACACACACACATGCATTCACATACTCGACAGAAAGACAGAAAGACTGACAGACAACCGCGGGGCTCTCGCCACTCATCGACACTCCACCAGACAGACACCCATGTCAGAGGTCAGTTAGCATGAATGGGACGGACGTATGTATGTGTGTATGTGTTTGTGGGGATGGCATACGGGGCAAAATGGTCGGTCGACAGGAGAGAGAGTGAGTGAGTGAGTGAGTCAAGTAGAGGACCAAAATCGATTGGGGGCCGGCTACGCTACACCGCCATGGTATGTCCGATAGATACACAACCACCCCTCAGACAGACAGAGAGCATGCAATAGATAGATGCCAAAACAAGAAAGACAGACACAAGGGAAGAAGCCAAGCAAGTGGGTAGTAGACAACCCAGGGCAGGGAGAGTATAGACAGACATGGATTGCCCCCCACCCCGCCCCACCCCACGTGGCTCGGCTGGCTACGCACCCACCATGAGTGATCGATACATGTCACTGCAAGAGCACGAATGCACAAGACTGCCATCTTGCGATGCTGCTGCTGATGACACCGACGATGCTGCCGATGGCGACAGCGCCCCGCTCCCCTTCTCCCCCACCCCTCTCTTCGTGTCGGTGTGTGCAGGGTGTGAAGCGTCCACGATCACCCAGTCGTCGTCATGGGTCAGGGCAGAGGCAGACTCATCGGTGGGGCTCTCACTGGCAAGTTCACTCATGTCGGGCAGGCTGCTGCTCTCGCCATCACTAGTGCCGTCTCGGTGAGGCTCAGAGTACCCCTCCCCCTCACCCTCTCCCTCTCCGGGCACCCGAGAGGATGTCCCGCCCTTCAATGGGATGAGGCTCGATACGCTGAGCGAAGTGGATGCGGTGCTGAGGGTGCCGCGGGTGTGCTTGGTGGATGATGGGGACGAGAGTGGTGCGGCGAAGAACAGAAATGGCTGGCCGTGGTTCCAGAAGTAGCCGCCCTTGACGTTCTCCTCCTTGTCGCTCCACTCGACAACCGTTGTGGTGGTGGTGGTGGTTGCGGTGTTGTTGGCGGCGTCGATGAGGTCATCGCTGCGCGCCTCGTCGACACCGCCGTTGCTGCCCTTTGTCGAAGGGGAGGGGGGTTGAGAATCGCTCACGGCAATCCGCAGCCTGCACAGACACAGACACAGACACACAGACACGCAATGAAGTCAGGCAGGCAGGTGTGGTCTGGTGTGTAGTGTACCTGAGTGAGTGTGTGGAGATGTTAGGGAGCGAGGCGATGGATGCGATAGAGGGGAGGGACTTGAGCCGCGGCAGCTGCGAGAGGGAAGCCAGTTTGGGCAGAGCCGGGATGGACTCGATGAAGTGCGGCTCCATCGGCTGCTGCCGGTCGGTGAAGTGCGCCAAGGGGAAGCTCGACCACTGGTACAGCACCACAAACGATATGAACGTCCACTCCGCGATGACGAACGGCATCTCGTAGGGCGTAAAGATCGCCACACCCGCCATCACGGCCGCGCACACAATCTGCCCCCAGGCCGCCGCGTAGCGCACCACAGGCTCGAGCCTGAGCCCGTCCATAGCCGTCGACATAGGGGAGGCGATGGAGTGGTCGATGACGTACGCGAAGAAGAGGCACTGCAGGGCGCACGAGGAGAAGTAGAGGCCCGCAAAAATGTAGTGGCCGATGGGGTAGACGGGGAGGGGGATGGACACCAGGCCGGTCAGCCCGATGTGGATCGTCACCGACAGCAGCACACACAGCTGAATGTACCCGCGCTCGACGGCTGACGGCAGGTACCGGTCGATGGCCGTGGCGAACCGCCACGTGAAGAGCAGCCAGCAGATGGTGCCCAGCGGCGCCAGCAGCGAACACACATAGATCGACGGCGGATGGCCAAACGCCTCTGAGGGGTACAGCCTGACACACACCATCAGACAAGACAAGCGACACGCATCCACAGGCCAGGCAAATCCCCTGTCTCGCCTCCCACACTCTCGCTCACTCACCGTGGGTATTTGAGGGATCCTGTGAGGACGGACAAGGGGTAGCAGATGACAAACGGCGCCGCGTGGAAGAACAGCACAGCCGACAGAAGCCACGCAGAGCACGGCAGCCCCTTGAGCAGCCTCTCAGGGGCGGCCTCATAGAGGTCAGTCAGGGAATACGTCCTGGGGCGCCGCTGCCGGCCGTCCCGCCTCCTGTCACCGCCCGCACATGAGGGGATCATGATGGCGCTTCCCACACTCGTCAACCACCACTCGGGGAGAGAGCTGTTGGGTCTGACGTCGGTGGCTGGCTGCGGGAAGGAGACACTCGGCGAGCTTGGCTGATCCCGCTCTGCTGTGCTTGGCGGCGCTGTCGGAGGCTGTCGAGGGGGAGGGAAAAGCGAGATCCTCGCACGCGGGCTCAGCTCGCAGATGTGCGAGCTGTGATTGGGACTTGAGGATGAGACCCAAGTCGGAGGAAGGCTTCCCAAGGCAAACGAGAGATGTCATGAAGATCAGTGCATCAAATGTCATCGGCTGATTACAGATGAGTGAGAGTCGTGCTCCCCGCATGTCATCCTCGTGGACTCGCAGTCCGCCCATCTGTCCGCAGCTGTGGTTTGAGATCCTTGACTACCTGGACCCGTGTGACTACCGGCGGCTGGAGGCATGCTGTTCCCTCTTCCGCAACCTGCCCGAGGGGGGCACCAACTGGCGCCACTACTGCCAGAGAAGCAAGATCATCGACGAGGACGGAGAGGCCGCCAGGAGGCGCGAATTTGACTCGTGGGCCTGCCCCTTCACTCTCGGCATACCTGGTGAGTCAGTCACACGATGTTCTGTCACTTCTCCTGCCCTTTTCCCTCATATGGCTGTTTTCTCCTTCTCTGGTTGTCTGTCTGTCCATCAGTGGAGCGTCTGATCAACTGGCGGAAGCTGTTTCGTCTCCACTGGTCGACCACACGGCAGCCCATCGCCGACCGCCCCTGCCCCTCCTCCGCTCCCCCTCACACAGACGACACCTCACCCCGGTCATCGCGCGACGGCAAGGTCCTGCGCATCTCGACCAGCCCCAGGTCGATGATGCGGCCGCATCCAGGGCGGGCGTCGAAGCAGTACGTGAGCCGGCATGTGGTGCCGACGGTGGCGATGAGGCTGGAGAGGGTGCGGCATCGCAGCGTGACAGTGAGGATCCAGGGCATGGACATCAGGCTGCCCGCGGTCCCCGTGTCAGTTCCATCGTCGTCGTCACCTTCGTCTACTTCTTGTTGTCCTGCTTCGTCTGGTGGTCGGCTGACGGGTGCGCTGTTGTTGGATGCGTTGCGTGTGGTCTGTGACGGGATACCCAAGTTCATGCCGCTCAGACTCAGGAAGGTTCAAGGTGAGCAAGACAGAGAGACAAACACGAAGCGAGGGAATACCTGGCTTGCTGAAATGTGTTTATTCTGTTCCGTGTGTCTGCCTGCAGCCGGCGGGCGTCCTGGCTGTGCGGTGTCGCCCTCGGGTGTGCTGACTGCCGACCAGGCCCTCATGCTCGAGTGGCCCTCACAAGTGCTCATCCAGATGCCCTCCCCCCACGGCGAAGCCGCCGAGCACTTCTCCCCCGCCGTGGACGGCGACACACCCATGGTGGACGCCAGCGACAGTCATGACTTTTCGCCTCCATTCTGGCTGCCATCTGCCGACATCGGCCAGCTGCTGTCGTCATGCGACTGCCCGCAAGACGCCATCCGTGTGGTCGACCAACGGTGGAGGCTGCCTGGGAGGGAGGACGGGCAGAGGGCCAGCCTGGGGGACCTGGGCCTGCGTGGCCACGAGCAATGGAGTCTGGTTGAGCGTCATGGGGCTGCGAGGGACGGGGAGGAGGCCATCTACTTCGAGGCACATGTACTGGAGGGCGCAACGATCGCCGGCTTTGATGACACCTTCATCGTGCTTATACGGGTGACCATACAAACAAAAGCAGACAGAAACACATAACATACACACACAGGCGGTCGTGCAACTGGTGTGCCTGATGCCTGCCTGTCTGCCTGCAGTGTGACGACCACAGCATGGAGGAGACGTACCTTGAGTTGGATCGTGACGCCTGTCTTGGCGACCTTTTGGATGCCCTAAGTCGACATCTGGAGCGAGTCATGGGCCTGGCCGTCATGGAGACCGTCAGCGGCTTCCTATGGGCCAACCCAACACGGCCACACCAGCCACGTAAGCCAAACAGTCTCTGCTGGCCGCACAACACGGGTGATTTGCTGACGTACTGTGTGTGCTACGCTGACTGTGGTGTGTTTGATTAATCAGTGCTGGATCAGCCCAAGCCCACCCTCAAGCTGAGAGAGGATCTGAGGTGGTGCTCGTCGGAGCGTGTCACCATCCACCTTGCTACCCCCCCGTCGCCCGACACTCTAACGGCCGCCAACAGCCGCTGCTTCCAGTGGGCACTCGCCATGCGCAGCGGACTCTACCGCACACGAGGGCCCAGGCAGCCATCGACCAGCGGCACACAGAGAGTCATGCTGCTGGTTCGAGAGGTCGAGCCCACTCCACATGGGGCTGATGAGGGCTCTGACGCGTCATCGTGCTGTGAGCAGTCCCTGCCATTGCCGAGTGGCGATGTGGTGAGCGACGATGGCGAGGGCGGTGACGACGACGAGAGGGGCGAGACCCACAGCTGGGTCACGGCTGGCACCGAGGAGGGCTGGCCCAGCTCGCCTTTGCTTGGGGCGGGTCCGTCGCCGCCGTCGCCGAGGTGTCGCCAGCCGGCTGGGGACAGCGCTGCGGACGAGAAGCCTTGTGAGGTTTGTGTTGGTGCTGGTGCTGGTGCTGGGGAAGATCAGGAGGACGACGGAATCATCGGCATGTCGGATGACGACTCAGAGGTACCGATAGAGGGAGAGGGGATCCAGCCATGATACACGTGTGTGTGTGTGTGTGTCCTTCCCTTTCCTCCCCCCCTGTCTCCCTCCCCCCTGTCAGATGGACTTCCGCTGCGACAGCCCCGCGGCACATCCCCACCACTATGAGTGCGAGCAGCGACACAGATACAGCTTCGCTCACTCCACATGCACCACCACCACAGCGGCAGCAGCAGCAGCAGCCAAGACACGATGTCGCTCCTACTCCGAGAGCTATGCATTTCACCTGCCCCCCGTCAGCGAGCCCGCCACACGCCCACCAATGGCCCCCAATGGCCGGAGAGCCAAGGAGGGCGCAATGGTGGAGGGTTGGTCGAGTCCGAATTGGCGTGTGGTGCCGCACGAGGACCTGCGGGTGGTGCGGACCTCCCGCGACGCGCGGCAGTTTGAGTTCCATCCTGTGAGGGAAGATGTGATGCTCGTTGGACACAAAAGTGGCGCGGTGAGCCGGGGAGGGAGGGAGAGAGGGAGAGAGGAATGACGTGTGTCCTTTACAGTGGAGACACACACATTGTGTGTGTGCAGGTGTCGGTGATAGACTTCGAGAGGGATGTGTCAGTCGGCAGGGAGCCCGTGGCGCAGTGCCCCATCCTGGGTTTGGCGTGGCTGCATCTGCACCCCACCATCGCCATATGCGGTGCGGCCAACGATGGCACCACCTGCATGCTGCAGTGGGACGAAAACGAGGGCCTGGGCAGGGGACTCAGGAGACTCCACAGCTGCAGAAGATTCGAACAACTCAGGTAGGTGGGCCAGATACCATACGCCCTCCGGCCATCTCTGTGTCGGTCGATGTGTGTATCCATTGCTCCCTCCCCGTCTCTCTGTGTGTGTGTGTGTAGTTCTTTGTCAGTGAATGTGAGTGACGACTACTTCATGACGTCAGGCTTTAGGCGCGACTTGGCGCTGTATGACGTGGCCACGGCGCGGCAGCTGCAGGTGTTCGACAACGTGCACCACCACCACATCAACATACTGAGGTCAGGAAGGAATCCAAGCCCCCGGCAGCACCAGAGGCACGTTCGTGACCTCTCTGTGTCTCTTGTGTGTGTGTCTGCTGTCCAGGTTCTCCAATCACTCGCCTCACATTTTCGCGACATCGTCGTTCGACCAGACGTGCAAGTGAGCATTCGGCGGGGTCTCTCTCTCTCTCTCTCTGTGTGTGTGCCAAAGGCTGATGGTCTGTTGCCTGTTGTCGTGTGCAGGTTGTGGGATTTGCGTGAGAAGATCTGCAGCAGCCGGCCGGCTCAATGTTTCCACACGGGGTGTCTCAACGTCATGTGCTGCTTCTCGCCCGACGACCGATTCCTGCTGTGCAGTGGCATCGATGCAAGTCTGCATCAGTTCTCGCTGGGCAGTGCGTGTGAGTACCCATCGCATGACGGCCTGCAGGTGCCGCCGCTGCACTCTCAGCAAAACTACCGCAGGTACGTCAGTCGGACGGCAGCAGACAAGTCTGACAGACACACCCGAGGTATGTGTTCTTTGTCTGCCTGGCCTGCGTTTTTTTCTTCTTTAGGTCGTTGTATTTGTCAACCAGTCGTCACTTCATCACCGCCGCCACAGACGAGAGCTTCGTCCGAGTCATGGGCATTCACGGTAGGCACCATACATGAGTATCCCATCCCAGCCACAGCCAAGCCACCACTGCACAGCACACACTCCCTGCCATGGTTGATATATATGTCAGGTGAGGATTACGGTATCATCCGTTTCAACGGTCTGCTCAAGACGCCCCTGCCGAGCGACACCGACCCCTCCTCCAGCAGGATGGGCTACGACAGCACGGCCCTCTCGCGACGACTGGCCGGCCGCAACGCATCCGTCTCGTTCGACGGGCAGGGCAGCCTCATGCTGCTCAGCAACCCGCTCTGGGGCTCACGCATGCCCGGATTCTCTCAGGCAATACGGTTCCTCGTCTCATCGGTACGTCAGTCAACCACCCTAGTCAACGCGCACACAGCGGACACATAGACGTGGTGGGTCTTGTATGTGTGTGTGTTGGCAGGTCCGTCGTCGGATGCCGTTCGCGGGCCCTCCCCCTCCTGGTATGTCGATAGCCGAGCCGCCCACCCCGCCCCCGCCCCCCTCCCCGTCTGTCATCGATGAGAGCGAAGACACCGACACGCAGCAGCAGCAGCAACAACACGACCCAGCCATGGCTCAGCAACCGCCAAACCAGCAGCAGGCAGCAGGAGCCACATCTCGCCCCCCCACGCCCTACCCCGAGATGAGGAGCCGGTCAGAGTATGTGCAGTCGTTGAGAGGGCATCCCACCAAGGCGCTGCAGATGGGTGCGCTGATCGCCACCTACTCCGAGCGCCAGGCATCGTTCATCGCACTGGCGACCATCAAGGGGGGTTTTGATCAGGAGAGAGGAGAGGACGACGAGCACGAGGGCATCGGGCACTGCAGATACGGCGGGGGGTAGACAGGCCATCAGTTTCTGTGCATGGATGAGTGCGTGAGTGTGATCAACGAATGCGTTTATCGGTCGGTTCATGTTGTGTGCTGAGAGAGACGGACGTGAGACTTGTCGTCTTTTTCCTCCAACTTGCTTGTCCGGTTGTCCTTGTGTGTGTGTATGTGTGGGTAAGGGAGTGAGTGGTGAGTGTATTTGTGGCAGTCAGTCAGCTGTAGAGTAGTATCCCATTTTCCACACCCTTCCTTACTGACAGTCTACGATGAGATCTGTTGCTGCCCGTGACACGTGTATGTGTGTGGATACACATCTTCCTCCTGGTGCATGTGTGTGCATGCATGCATTCTGTCCGCGTGCGCATTTTTCGCCCAGACATCTGTCTGTCTGTCCGTGCGTGTGCTGTACATGTGCGGTTTGCCCTCAGACACAATACGCCTGACTCAGGTCAGAGCCGCGGAGGCTTACGGAGGTGACCAACGATAAGGGTTTAGGGTTCCGCCTGCCGCAAACCCCTAACCCCAACCCTCGTGTCTTTGCCTCGTCGACCGCAGCTGGTGTTGTTTGCTTCCGTTCGGAGACCATTCCCTACCCGTGAACCGCTTCCCCCCGGCGTCAGATCTCCTTGTGTCCGAGATGAGCCGGAGAGCAGACGGCAGGTCAGGTCGCACCAGAGATCTCGATAGAGTCGATACGGAGATGATTGTCCGCCTGTGTCCTTGCTTGTATCGTAGGAACGAGGAGGAGAGGGAGGAAAGGGAGAGGGAGGAGAACAACGACGGTCTGGGAGCAATGCTCGCCGGCGGAGCACTCCTTGGTGCAGGCTTGGCGCTTGGCTATTGGCTCACCAGCGGACGAGAAAGGACGGTCCGATGCGCGTTGGTCGTCGACGGAGCGAACGTCATCCACTGCCATGAAAGTGCATCTCGGACTCGCTTCTCGTCTGAGGACTTCTCTCGCTACAGCAACGAGATGAAACAGGCTTTCGGGTCACGACTGGGCAAGGAGATCATCTTCCAGAGAAACCACTCGGTCTTCGTCAACACGAAGCCGGCGAGGTGGAGAGAGCGCCGTGACCAGATGGGTGCACTGCACGAGAGTATCGAGCGCAGCGGTGTTTCGGTATGGGAGGTGGAGACGAAGCAGGGGCATGGCGGAAGGACTGTGCAGCAGGGCGCGGATGTGGCCATCGCGACGAAGCAGCTAGAGAGAGAGATGTCGATGCCGTGATTCTCTTCTCTGGAGACGGTGAGAGAACATTATACGCCAGAGAATATATATTTGGCTGTCTGTGTTTGGACTCGGGTGCACTTCTCGCTGCGGGTCAGGTGACTTCTTTCACGCACTGGACAGGGTCAAACAGACCACGGGCAAGAAAATCTTCGTGTGCGGATTTCGCGGCACCGTCAGGTGAGAACTCACCGATGAGGACGCCTGACGAGCACCACACGAGGCCTGACGCTCAGAAGACGTCTGTGTGTCTTGTATCTCTACACTGGTAACTGCAGCAATGCACTGAGACGCGAGTCGGTCGACCACTTGCACCTCATTGACGTTGAATGAGTTGACGCCATGTGCTGACAGTCGACTACCGCATTGACGGCCAACTGACGCCATGGCGACATCGCACTGTCATTTCACTGCTGTCAATTGTCCAGATCTTTGTGTCTTAGTTTGTAATACGTGTCGGTCGTTCCGTTGCTCTGTTGCACTTGCTGGTCACTGATTGCGCGCTGCGTTGTGGCAGCGGCAGATGAGGGAAGGAGCACTTCGTGTTAGGCTGCCTGTGCGCTTTCTCCTCGTGCATGGCCCCTCGCTGAGCTCCTGCCTGCGTGCTACTTTCTGATGTGTTTGTGGACTCGCTGTGTTGATGTTGATGTTACATGTGTGTCTGCGCTGTGTGTATCGTGTTCGAATGTGTGTGCCCATGCCAGACCACCGCGTGTGTGCCTGTTGGAGACGACTGTGTGTGTGTCGTTTGTCCTCCTAGGGTGAGTGGAGGAGTGCTGGGTCGGCCGCACGCGCTGTGTGCAGAGATGGACCCAAACCCCCACCCCTTTGATGGTGCAATCTCCGTGTGAACGTTTTTTGATGACATTCGACTGAGCAGCTGCCTGATGCACTTCATTAATCGCCCGATGGCCAAGCAGACAGACACATGGCTACGTCGATGGGGCTCTCTTGTCTGTCTGCCTGTCTCCGTACGGTATTTGTATACACACGGCACGCCGACGAGGGAGAGGGGTACGTCTATCTACTCACATATGTGTGATACGATACGTGCCAAGCACAGCACAGCACACACAGCAAGGGACGGACGGAGGGGTGGGCGGACTCCGCGTAGATACACACATCCATACATATATACATGCATACATACGTACCTGTGTGCGGGAAGGGTGGGTGGGCTCGACTGACTGGCGAACTGTTGCCTAGGTGGTTTTCAATGTGAATGTATACACTGCCCATGGCAGCTGAGCTATAATAACATTGCTTACACCCACACACCCGGAACATCACAGCATCATGGGACGCAACACGAAGACAAATGCATAAATGTCATCGCGTGAGGCCCAAGTGAGGCCCCTATTGTGAGGCCCACCAACACTGCAAATGGGAAGGCTGCAAGCAGATCTGATCACCGCAGATGAAGCGGTTCCAAAACGTGAGACGGCTGGTTTTTCCCGCCCCCACGACCAGCTCTGGTCACTTGCATGTATGCAAGTGTGTTCTGTCGCCCCCTCCTCAAATTTCAGCTCTATTGTCATCTGTTTCCGACTTTTGCTCTTCGTTAACCTATCAGCACTCACCTGCCGTCCCTCAGCCTTCTTCAGCCACACCTGGCGACGCCCGCAGGCCATCTTAACCGCCCTGCGATGGCCTTTAAAGGCCACAACGCCCTTGCATCTGGGCGATTTGACATCGCTGCGAGGCCGCTGGGCGCGGGCGGTCATTCTACCGTGTTCAAGGCCAAGGATAAAGCCTACACCGACCCGAGCCGTTCCTTCGCACTCAAAGTCTACGACCCTCAGCAGCCGGACGAGGCGGCGGGCAGCACCGTTCACCCATCCGACATGAACGAGATGCTGGCCTTCGATCTTCTGCAGTCCATCGCGGAGACCAAGGCCATCGCCAGCGGCATACCCCCCGGCTTTTACCGCCGCGCCTGGCACCCCAACGTCGTCAGACGATATGGCCACCACATGGCTAGCAAGAGCACTCGGCACGGGGACCAGTGGCTGCTGCTCGAACTGCTGGAGGGGGCTCAGTCGCTGGGGCGGTGCTCGGAGGTATCGGCCTTTGAGGTCAAGGCGGTGCTCTACGAGATGCTCCACATGCTGGCCTTCCTGCACCAGAATGACATCGCCCACGGCGACATCTCTTCGGAGAACCTGGTGGTCTGCAGAAAGATCGAGGGCCTGCCGCTGCTGGAGGCCATCGACTTCGGCCTCAGTGTCCATGCCAAGACGCAGCAGGCGATGGGGGCCGCCGAGAGTGAGCGGGGGTTCCAGGGGGCGAGGGGCACGCCAGGCTACTTCACGCCCGAGATGACCTGGCCGTACGCGGCACACAGCGACCCCAAGGGTATCCACTCAGCCAGCCAGGATATCACAGAGAGGCGAGAGAAAGGGACAATGCCTCATCTCTTTGTGTCTGTCTGTCCTTGATATGTGGATGCCTCCATTCAGGCTCACCCATGTTCCAGAGGTATGACGAGAGGAAGGGAGACATCTTCCAGGCAGGTGTCGTGGCCGTCGAGGTGGCCACGGGCAAGAACGCCGCCAAGGACCTCTTCCCTCTCGGCAGAGCCACCAAGCAGGGCGTGGCGCAGCTGTCACGGCAGCTCTTCACGTTCACTGGACGGCCGGGCAACGAGGAGGCGGCGGCGATGGGATTCCCTCAGGGCCTGTTTAGCGATATCGAGGTCAGCAGTGCGGACGGCATAAAGGCCAAGCTGCGGCGATGGGGGGTGGGGGATGAGGGCCTTCTCGACGTGCTCTCCAAGTAAGACGGAGGCAGACACAGAGAGGTGTCCCATGTGCATTCAGCTCACTGTGTGTCTGTTATGCGTTTGTTTGCCCTCAGGATGGTGTGTCTCCCGGGGTCACGCCACACAGCTGAGGAGCTCTCCATGCATCCCTACTTCACCCACGACGCGGCGCTGCAGCCCGTCGTCAAGGCGTACATCGACTGGGGC